TATCACTCTTTGCTAAATTTTTTATTCAAATGTCATGCGAATAATGCTTTTTACCAAACTGTCACATGACGTAATTCCTTACGATTAATAGTGAATTCAGTTCGTCAATAATTTTGTGACACGTGACATATATTCGCAAAAAAAAACTGACTATACGAAATTTGTTACTAGTGGTAACGGATTTGGTACGCAATGTGACCACGTGTCACGAAATCATAGGCGGACATAATTCGCTACCAGTCGTAGCAATTTCCATCACGTGGCAGTCTGGTAAAAATTACCGCTCATGTGACATTTGGGTAAAAAATTTGTCAAATAGTGACACTTTGGTCACTGTTCCCCCTGTCCTCTATTTTCTTTAGTTTTTTTTTTTCTGAAATAAAAACGGATTACTTTTTCATTTTATGACATATTTGATTTAATTTTTAAAAGGGTTTAATGTTTCTGCTTTTGCAACAGAAATTTTTTTCTATCACACTCACATAAAAATGAATGGATCCCACAATAAAGAAAAGAGATAAAAGATTAGTATAACACATTTATTTTTATATGAATGTTACATTAAAATATAGAATAAAATCCGCATATTATGTTTTATTTTGTTTTAACACGTCTATCAAATGTTAGTATTAGATCGGTTTTTTCAAATTACACTAAATTTTAAAAATAAAATAAAAGAGGGTAAGTATTTAAAATTGAAAAAGAGAGAGTACGACAATTAAATGAAAAAAAAAATGACATACATTATTTATTTTTTTATTTTTTTGATAACAACATACATTATTTTTTAAAAGAAAGCAACACTTAAACTTACTCAATTGAGAGGATTGATATGCGGTTTTGAATTTTTCTTTCTTTCTTTCTTTAAATATGAAACAAAATATTAAATGCTTTTTGATGTTGTATATATTGATGTGAGGAATGTGAGGAAAATCTTGAATTATACTCGTACCATTTGATAGAAGGTTTTTGTATGTCTAATTTTTGTATATATAAAATGCTTAAAAATCATATTTATTTTTACATTGTTTTGCAGCAAATGATGGAAGTGGAGACACGTTTCAGGACAAAAACTTTGTCTCGAGAAAACAAAGAAACGTATAGTCAGAAAACGGCATTTATGATCCTTATCTACATTTATGTTTCTCTTCAAAGTTATCATGGATGCTAAATAAATGGAAAAACTCACATAAGGCCCCTTTTATACGATGTCTCGATCATGAGTAGTTGTAAAATAGGTACTTCAAGATAAACTCTAATCTGATCCAGGAACATCAATTAATGCATGATCCACAAAATTTTTTGCCATTGATAAAAGTTGATATGTCTTAAATTTAAAAGAAATACTTGTTAAGAATTTAAAAAAAAATATTAAATAAAAACTAAACTTTTAAATTTTTAACATAATATATATTAATTTTTTTAGTAATCTATTTAATACTGTAATTTCTTAATAAGTATTTATTTGAAATTAATATTTCTATATTGATAACTTCATCTCTTGTACTCATATGAAAATAGATGTGGTCCTGTCAAGAGAAGAAAGAAAGAGAAAAAAAAATAGATTTTATCCATTTTCATATGAATGTAGAAAATAAAAAATATTATTTCCTATTTTTTTTAAATAACGAGTGCTATTAAAATACTAGAAAGAATGACTCAAATTTAAGCTAATTTAATAATGCATCCATTAATTGTTTCTCCAAAAATATATATGAAAATTTGTGGTACTTCATAATCCGACTTGTAGAACTTCTTTAACACCGACACTAAATTAATTATTAAAAACATTAATGGCATGTTTAGGTAAATATTCAAAAGAGGTGTAGTTACAAATTTACCCTTATTTTATTAAATTAAATTGTTTTACTTAAAAATAAATTTTTTTTTTTATGAAGACTTAAAAATAAATTTTTAATTTAAAATAAAAAATAAAATCAAAGTTGTTTTTTAATCTAATTGTACATATATCATTTCATCTCTTCTAATTTATATTAATTTATATTCAAGCTTATCTTAAAAAAATTCGTATAAATATAATTTTTATGGCTTAAATTTTCATCCTTTCTTAAGAGGATTATTCTCTAACCACTACCGAGAATCTTTTATGGGTATATACTAACTATAATATAAGGAGAATGATCCGTTTACAATTTTTTTTTTGAAAATTTATACAAATTACATTATGTTCTTCCGGGAGAACATAATGTAATGAATATTCTCTCGCGAGAAGATAGTGTAGTTTGTAAACAAAAAAGTTTGTAAATATAACCTGTCTCATAATATAATATTTATAAACTTGTCATTAATCTTGAAACTACTCGTAGGCCATTGTCATAAAGGACAGAAAAGGAGATTAGGTTGGTGTCCTAGAACTAACGGTAGTTGCAATGTCTCCCAAAATGCACCTAAACAATGATACTTCAGAGCAAGAAAGTAGCAATTTTTTTTTTTTTTTTTTTTTATATATAAGGACCTTTATTCTTGCACTGTCGTCTCCAAATTGAATTATCATTATACAAACTAAGAACCAAAATCATCATCATCTTGCAATAATGGCATATATAATTTTGTAGTGGTTGGGAAGGTTAAGGACGCTTGACCTTTTGTGGATGGGACATTGAGTTTATTATTGGTAAACCTACTCAAGCAATCTCAGTTAAACCACAAATAATAACACCATAGTGCCAATGAAATTTTTTGAAGTGGGTCCATACATTGACACCAAAATGGTTAAAAATAACACAAAACCTGAAAGTCTCTTCTTTTTTCTTCACACACAAACATAGCCTTTTAAGCTATATAGCCAAAAAGTAAGAGTCTTGTTACTCACTTACTCATATAATATGAATTTCATGCCTTCCACGCATCAATTAATGATGAACAATTATCATTTAATTATGTATAATTAGTTAAGACACTCATAATATCTTTTTTTTTTTGTTAGAAACACTTATTAATTTGTTAAGTAATCAATTATGCACTCCCAGACAACTTGCTTAGGTGTAGGTAATGTGTTGAATTTCCTACATAAATGAAACAATTTACAAAAGATAATGTACTAAACCGTTTGTGTTAAAACAATTTTTATTTTATTTTTGAGAATTGACTCAAGTGATAATATAAACCGCAGGTCGAATGAATTGGAAAAATAGGAAGGATTTGAATTTTGAAGAGAACTTTTAAAATCAAAGTTAGATAATTGTCACACTACTTGACTCGCGATTAATCTTGTATTTGGACGGGCCTCTTTCTTTGATCGGGTCGTATGAATATATAGGGATCTAGTCGGAAGGGATTATTAGAATCATAAATACAAAACTATTTTTAATTTTTGCAGGAAGTAAGAAGGAAGTAACCTATAATGATATGATCTGATGCACATGCTAGAGTGGAAATCATGTGTTATGTGATAGTAACATGAATTGTGTCAATTTGCATAAACAAGATTCTCCTGCTGTAGTGAACAGTGCAAGATAACCAAAAGTAGAAAAAAACAAAAGAATAACAAAATGATATTAGCTCGTTTGGCGTCAGAAAATTGAGCACTTAGATATGAGAATATGTATTTGATCTTCTTTAGTATCGTTTTTGGAAGAGATTTAAAGCCTTAGGGCTTGTTTGGTGTAATGTATAAGACTTGATAGTATAAGATTATACTATACGTTATGACATTTTCAATTATTTGGTGTGACCATCGTAAAGTATAAGTTTATATAGCAGAATCCCTTAGGGCATGTTTGGTGCATAGTATAGGATAAGGCCTGATAGTATAAGGCCTGATAGTATAAGACCTGATTGTATAAGACCTGATTGTATAAGACCTGATTAAATTTTAATACTATCATGCGTTTGGTATGGTATTGTATAAGATAATATCCTCCAATATTTTAAAAATTAATATATTAAAAAAAATTATTTTAATATATTAATATTGAAATGATATATTAGTTCTTGGGAATTGTACTTTTAAGCAACATTAATACATCAACCCCTTTATTAGGCCTAATCCTACCCCTTAGGCTTGATTAAGTTATACATCATTTTGATATATAAAAGGATCCTGGTGTATAAGCTTATACTATACGATGGTCACACCAAACAACTGAGAATGTCATAACGTATAGTATAAGCTTATACTATCAGGCCTTATACATCATACCAAACAGGCCCTTAATACATCAAAATGATGTAAAACTTAATCAGGCTTAAGGATGTGGGATTAGGCCTGACAAAGGATTGATGTATTAATATTGCTTACAAGTACAATTCTCAAGAACTAATATATCATTTCAATATTAATATATTAAAATAATTTTTTTTAATATACTAATTTTTAAAATATTGGAGGATATTATCTTATACAATACCATACCAAACGCTGGATAGTATTAAAATTTAATCAGATCTTATACAATCAAGTCTTATACTATCAGACTTTATCTGTACTATACACCAAAAATACCCTTAATCTCCGAATCAAAATCGAACTAATTGTGAAATGATAACCGATTAGAATAAAAGAAAAAAAAATAAAAAACAAAAGAATAAGTAAAGTGTAAAATATAAATAAATAAAGGAAGCAACGAGCACAAAAGCACGAGGTACAAGAAACAAGGGACAAGAAGATTTAAGAAAACAAAGGAACCATGCCATGTGCCAATAGGGTATTTCATTTGTAAATAGCAAAGTGCTTCAAACAAAGAAAGCTTTGATCTTTGTGGAACCAATGAAAGAAGAAGAAGGAAAAATAAGAGAGATCTAAGATTGGGAATGTGGGCCATAACAAAAGAAGCCATGTGGGTATCTAATTATCTATCTTGTGTCAATGATTTTTAATGCTTTCTGACACTACCATCTCACCTCAAACATAGAAGAAAATGAGACATGAAACTAAAACCAAGCAAAGTTGCAGATCTGAATGTGAATGAATGGTGATGATTCACATCTACTTCATTGAACATTGAACCAGTTTGAACCAGTTGGTGTTGCAGATCTTCTTGTGTTAAACATGATGAGTAACAGGAATGGGAGAGACTCTTTATTGGGATCCCTTAACCATCACCGTAGAGGTCAGAGCTTCAATGGGGTTGCCAACAATGATGACAACCTTGATCTCTTCTCCAAGAATCGCCGCTCTCTTTCTGTTGCTTCTTCTGATGACTCTTCTGATGGTACTGCACTGCTTTTTGTTTTTGCACATTCTTAATATGTGCAAAAAGTGTTTTTTTTTTCTTCTTAATTTTTGTTTGTTTGATTCTATTTTTGTTTGATTCTAATTTCTAATCACAAACGGAAACATTGGCTGTTTTTAAGCATTGATGTTTGGAATGAAAAGGATGTTTTGGTAATGGTAAATAAAAATAACATTATTATATAGTTTCCATTATGTAGGAACTATATGATTATGAAAAATTGTGGTTAATCATCAATTCTTGCATTATGATTTGTATTTTTTTCATGATATCATTTATTAGGCCATGGTTTCTGCACTTTTTTTATTTTTATTTGAATCCATTTCTCTTTGTTTTTAAGGTGATCAAGTGATCTTATCTATGAATAATAATAATAATTGTTATTTGTGGATACAGTTTCTGTGAAACTGGGGAGGCTCTCAGTTGGAGGACCAGCAAAACCAGCCAGAAGTGGGATTGATGATCTATTATCAGCTGCGGAAGGAGGAAAGCATGATTATGATTGGTATGCTACATTCAAATTGACTTCATCATTATCTATCATTAGTAGATTGAATTTGACCAACAAAACAAAGAAATCACATTTAAGAGGACAGAAGAAACAATTACAGAAAGTGGGAGGAAACAGATGTTAGCAGTTTTCCTGGAGAAAAGATCATATCTTCATGCAGTTTTATTTTATTTCAGATTATTCATAGATCCGGATATAATTGCAGACAGTTGATGGAACCCATAATCAATTCAATTAAATCCTTATTACAATATTTTAGTTGCTGGCTTAATATTTATTCAACTTTTGAAATGAAGGGGTGCAACTTTAAATAGTTTAAGTCATAAATTATCTCACACACAGACAAAATTATGTAAATAAATTTACTATTGGTTTCCCAATTTGTAATTATCACTATTCTATGTCATTAGGCTTCTCACTCCCCCGGGGACCCCAGTTTTTCCAGCATCAGAAGGCGAATCCCAGTCAACTTTAGTGCCTCCAAGGAGAAGTATGAGTAGATCAACTTCTACCACTAAGGCTTCAAGGGTATGTGTCTTCCTCTCATAATTTCTACATGTCCCTTTTACAATTACATTCCATATATGTTACCGGTATTCTTGCTTACAGATTTATTAGTAAGTGGATTGATAAGATATTAGCTATCAAATTCAAGTGAAAGAGGATTATCCTCCTCCCCACAAGCAAGGAGCCAGGGTCTTTTGCTTTTTGGGGGGTTTGGGGTGAGGGATAAGGTGATGCAAATGTATGTTTGATTTTGGTATTAGATGTTTCCCAAGTTATCTTCTCTGAACAATATGCCTATGTCAATTAACAATCTCATTTAATTCCTTGTTTCAACTCACAGAAACTAACTGATATTGAAGCATACTGATTACTTGGAGGAGTACTCCCGTAGTACTTACTCCTTTACTTAAAGTAGAAATGAGTAGGACTCATGTGGCATTAACCATAAAGGAGTGAGTAGAATAAATGCAATTAATTGAATTACTTTTTTTTTCAACTTGAGTAAGTGATGTACTTAGTCTTCACTATTGCAAGAATGAAGAAAATTTTCCACTTGGAGAGCTAGTTTATATTATATTGACATGTTGAAAATGGTAAGCTATCTCAACTAGTTTGGGATAAAGGTGATGTTGATGATGATGATGTTGAAAATGGTAAGCTAGATGCTGCTATTAAGTTTAACTTCTTAATCATGTTTCTTTCAGCTTTCAGTCTCACAATCCGAGAACTCCAATCACTCTAGACCAGCAAGAAGCAGTTCAGTAGCTCGCCCTTCCATCTCCACTTCACACTCACAGTACAGTACCTATTCTTCAAACAGATCCTCTACCTCAATCCTTAACACAAGCTCTGCCTCAGTTTCATCTTACATTAGACCATCTTCCCCTATAACCCGCTCTACAACTACAACAAGGCCTTCCACTCCCTCTTCCCGCACCACACCATCATCAAGGTCTTCAACACCCTCAAAAGTACGGTCAGTTTCCACTAGCTCCTCTAGTGACAAACATAGACCATCATCACAAAGCTCAAGGCCATCCACTCCTAGTTCTAGGCCTCATATTCCTGCAAACTTACACTCCTCATCTTCTCCATCAACTCGGTCACTGTCACGCCCTTCTACTCCCACTCGTAGGAGTTCAATGCCATCTCTATCTCCATCTCCTTCTCCTTCCCCTACTACAGCTTCTTCAACTTCATCTGGCCGTGTTCCATTAACCGGGCGCAGTTCAGCACCGGTATCAAGAGCAAGCTCACCAAGCCCCCGAGTCCGGCCACCACCACAGCCAGTTGTTCCACCTGATTTTCCCCTTGAAACACCACCAAACCTTAGAACAACATTACTTGATAGGCCAGTTTCTGCAGGCAGATCCCGTCCTGGATCTGTCACTCTGAAGGGAAACAATTCTGAAACTCAAGCCTCAGTTAATATGCCAAGGAGACATTCATCTCCTATTGTGAGTAGGGGGAGATTGACAGAACCTGCTGGGAAAAGCCGTGGCTATGCCAATGCAAATGGCCATCATGCTGATGTTCTTGAGCCTAGGAAAGTTCCACATGCTCCTGAGGTAGTTGCAAGGAAATCAGTTAAGGCTTCAACCACTACCACTGACAACTCAGGGTTTGGGAGGACTATCTCCAAGAAATCCTTGGATATGGCTATTAAGCACATGGTTTGTATACTCTACTTTTTCCAGTTATGCAAGATTGACCATCAAAATTTACTGATTACACTAATCAACATTGAACAACTTATGTTAGAATTTCAAGTGTATGTGATGAGCAATTAAGTCCTACATTGGTTAGGAATGGACTAAGTAAGGACTAAAGACCCATAAACCCAATGCCTTAAGGTTTTGGGTTAAGATTTGGTATTATGAATAATAAGTTGCAATCCTTGCCAATAATGTGTTATGATTCATCAGTCAACTTGGGATACTTTATGAATTAGACTAGTCTTATTATATTTTGGCCATGATACTTCATATGTCTTTGAGTAAAGTTATGCAAACAGGCTTGCAAGTTTGTTCTATCAACTTAAACCTGATTTTCTAAGTGCTTTTCTGTTTTCACAGGATATAAGAAACAGCTCAGGAAATCTTCGTTCACTATCAAGCACCACATTATTTCCTCAAAGTATTCGAAATTCCACTCCCAAGAGTCACTCTCATCGAGTTTCGAGTGCTCCAGCGTCTGTTGACATTAATGGAAGCATGCTAAGCAGTAACAATGGTGCTAATTTTGATGTGGGAAATGGTATTAATAGGAATATGATAAAAGGAAGAGAGAGAGATGAAAAACAATACTCTGCAAAACTGAGTGAAGTGGACATCTATGAGAGTTCTCGTTATGATGCACTATTGCTTAAAGAAGATTTGAAGAATACAAACTGGCTGCATGGTGCTGATGATGATAAATGTGATCAAGGCCTCATATTTGATAATGGATTTGAGCACCTGCCTGAACCTTTTGGTCTCTTGTAGCATCCAAAAAGGTTCTGCTGAGAGCATTTTGTAACATGCTATTTATGTTCTGATTGTTATCTCAATTTTTTGAAAGGATGGGATATTTCAATATAAAGCTCCAAGGTGGAGAAGTGAAGCTGCATTATATGTTTTCTGCAATCAGCAGTGAAATCAGTGGATTTAACTTTGATCTTTCTGTTAGAAAAGCAATGCAGGAAAAAATTACATGCAAAGAGGTCCAAGTTTCTTTGGGTGGATGAGAGTTTTCAGAAATGAGTAATTTCTTCTGTCTGTGCATACACAAGTATGCATTTGTCTAAAGGCAAATGTACTACTGTAATTACATAGAGATGGAATGTGATTTTTTACTCAAACACTATGGTTGAGTGTTATTTTCCCCTTGGCAATGAACACTATAGTTGAGTTGAGTTGTATTTCTACTTTTTAGTGCCTTTTTACTCAAGTACAATTATTATAATTTTTATTATTTCTTTAAAATTAAATATTTAAATATTTGTACATTATAGTAAAATAAAAGAAAAAAAAATATGTCTATTGCTTCAAATGTTTATAGAAATAGGTGTTCAATTTATTTTAATTAATTAAATTATTATTTTTTGCTAACAATTTATAGAAAGAAAATAACTTTAATGTGAAATTTGCCTATTAAATATCAACAAGTTCTTATTTCCAAAAGATGGGGAAACATGTGGTAATCAGAGTTAGTTATACAAGCTAGCCAATGATGACAGCTCAGTTGGTATAAGGGAGTTAAATGGATGGGAAATGACCTCGGTTTGATCCTTACCGATGCCATCTTGGGGAGGGGCATTAAACTTTAATCCATGACTCGTCCCGAACTTGGAATTAAACTCATAACCGACTCAAAGAGCCGATGCTTGTGGAGATATCCGGGAAAACCTATTCACCTTAAGGGCGCGTTTGTTACCAGGATTATATTTGTGTTCTCGGGAAATGCTGGTCAGACTAATATAAATACTATGTTTGGTAACTTAAAATAATCAACTTTCCAGAGTTCAAATATTTCCCAGAATTTGTTCTTGTTCTAAAAAAACAGTACGGCTCCCTTCACAAAAATTCCATAGATTATATGGAAAACTTTGCTATCTGGGCAGGTGGAAACATATTGCAAAATGTTGGACCAAATTGTCCTTGCTAATTGTACAACTGTAAGCATAGTATTTGTTGGTCCCTCCCTCTAGTTGGTAAAGTAGGGCTTATTTTGGTAAAATAACCTCATATTCCTATAATAACCCTCACTAGTAATTGTGGATTTAATATTGAAGAATAATTAGAAGTAAAAGAAATAAAGTCACCTTTGGTGAAAAAAGAGTTAAAATGACAGTTAAGGGATAAAAATGCGGGTAAATAAAGTTATCCAAAAAGTGAAAATAAAATAGAAAGGTGACTAGAAAAATATTCTAGTCTATTGGGTAAAGTTTGGTAATGAATGGAGGTGGGTAGATAGATAAACTTATACCCGCTGGTATAATGAACTTGCTTAAGTGACTAGAGAGTCACTATTCCCATTCTCATTTCGTGACTTACACGGGAGGCAGAGACAGAGAGCATGAAAATGAAGAAAAAAAAAGGATTTTGATGGAAATCTTCCAAAATTCATAACTTGAGCTAGAGACCTCCAAATCACTTCGTTTCAAAGCCAAACTTGTGAGAAATTTCGAGAGGAATCCATTGGTACTAGTATTTCTGGGTGGGTTTCACTGTAGAGAGAGATCTCCTCCTCCAAAGATTTCGAATTTCATGGAAAAGATGGATTTTGATGGATGAGGCCATGGGAGCTTAGATACTCATCTCTCCTTTGTTTTAGAGTGCATTGTGGTAAGAAATTCCCTTCCTTTTCATGTTTTTATGAAGATTGAATTTATGGTTTCATTTTGAAAATTTGGTTTGATTGAGCATGTTAGAGCTTGATTCAGGTTTAGCTCATGTTGAGAAAAGTGTTTAGATGAGAATTTTAACGGTGAAAATGTATCTGAAAAATTAAAGATACCATATTTTTGAATAGTGTTGTATACGTGAATAGTGACGTATACATGAATAGTATTGTAGAGATGAACAGTACCGTAGTACCGTATATATATGAATTAATGAATCTTGGATTAGAGGTATGTGATAAGCGTGAATTTGATGGACTAAAGCATTGGAATCATGAAGTTGGCATGATCTTAGCCATTTACAAAGGAAGTATGTGCTATGAGTTACTGTTTTACAAATCGAGCATACTTTTATGCGTGGAATAATATTCTAAGGTGTATGGACATTCGCTTTGGTGAAATAAAAAAGAAAATAAGGTAGCTCCTTTGTATGACCTTAAAATGAGTTTTAGCCATTTTCAAAGGAGGTATATGTTCGGAGATATTATTTCGCAAAGTGAGAACACTTATATGCGTAAAATAATTTATATAGGTGGCTAAGCTTGGGTTTAGGCACTAGACAAAGAGAAATCTTATAGCTCCATTGTAATGGGCATTCTGCCTTAAGTTGGGACTATCCTAAGACTAAGTGAATATGTGAAATTTTGTGGGGATTTATTGAACAAAGAACCACCCACTCATGACTTAATATGATTAAGTAAAAAGAAAATAAACAATAAAGTGTGTGTCTCGTATATTTACATGGCATTATATCATTTTATTGAGTTTTGTGTTGAATTCCTTCTCTGGGTGTACCTAGGGACTGTGAACGTTTGGATTCTCGTGGAGCATGATAAGTAGCTTGTTACATTTGGTATCAGAGCATGGCCCTGGACCGGTGTGTACAGCAGGGACGCTGTATTCCCAGTGGGGGAGGATGTAATGTCCCACATCAGTTGGAGAGGGGAACAAAACATGCCTTATATGGGTGTGGATACCTCTTCTAGTGTGAGGCCTTTTGTGGGGTGTCCCAAGAAACAAAACCGTGAGCTCGACGGTGCTTGTGCGCGGGGCAAAGCGGACAATATCATGCTACAGGGTTTGGGGCTGTTACATATTCAGGCATGATGATATGACTATGTAGTATTCAGTTATGTTATGTATTGGATTGCATGCTATTAGATTTGTGGCACGGAGCCAAGTTTAGCATGCGGCCATAGATGGGTATCTGAGTATATTTGCATGACTGGTACTTCTGGAAATATATATTGTTTAAACTGTCTATCAGGAACTCTTGAGAGTGGGATTGGAAAATCCCCAGTTGTCCGATTTACAGAGGTTACTCTGTCCGATTTTTCGTCTCCATAAAATAAGAATTAAATTAGGAGAAGTATGCAATGTGATATGTCATGTGAAAAAGGATTAAAGAAAAAGAAAAAGTTAGTTCGTATTTTCGTAAGTTAAGTCTTCCGCTGTTTCTGTTAAGTATCATATGTATGTTAATTGAACCGGCTCGAGGCTGGGGATGTTACATTTATGGTATCAGAGCAGTTGCTCTAGGGAGTTACATGATATATAGCATAAGATATTTGAAGTTGGAAGTTCTTGAGTGTTTTCTTGGAGTGCTGTATAATGCATGTGTGATCACTGAGTGTGAGCGTAGCTAACTCATTCCTTAGTGTAATATATGCAGAGATATGGTTCCTCCAAGGAGAACTCGTAGAACATTTAATAATCATGATCCACCACCGGATCATGTTGTAGCGATTTTGGCTGCACTACAGAAGACTTGGACTGCAACTAGGCAGAAAGAGCTTGAATTAATAATGAAGCATTCAATTTGACTGTGATAAGGATGAAATTTCGAATTTTCGCCAGAGAAGGAAATTGAATTTACAATCGACTTGTTACCTGGCGTGGTGCCTATCTCTCTTGCCCCATACCGGATGTCACCTCTGGAATTATCTGAATTGAAGAAGCAGATCGAAGACTTGTCTAGTAAGAATTTTATCAGACGAAGTGTATCTCCGTGGAGAGTCCCGGTGATCTTTGTTAAGAAGAAGGACGAGTCTATAAGATTGTGTACAGATTACCGGCAGTTGAACAAGGTTACTGTCAAGAATAAGTATCCTTTGCCGCGTATAGACGATTTGTTGGATCAGTTGCGTGGTGCGACTATATTTTCTAAGATTGATCTTCTGTCCGGGTATCATCAAATCCGGATAAAGTCGGATGATGTTCCGAAGACAGCTTTCAGGTCCTGATATGGGCACTACGAGTACCTGGTTATTCCTTTTGGGCTTACGAATGCACCAGCCGTTTTTATGAGTTATATGAATAGGATCTTTAAAGCCTATCTGGATCAATTTGTGGTTGTCTTTATTGATGACATACTGATATATTCAAGGAGCAAAGAAGAGCATTCTGAGCATTTAAAGATTGTTTTGCAGATTCTGAAAGAGCATCAGTTGTATGCTAAACCGTTAAAGTGTGATTTCTGGCTTTCTGAGATACAATTTCTGGGCCATGTCATTTCATCTGAAGGAGTGGAAATGGACCCGAGTAAGATTGAAGCAGTGTTAGATTGGGAGCGTCCTAAAAATATTACAGAAATCAGGAGTTTTCTTGGTTTGACTGGGTATTACAGGCGTTTTATTGAGGGATTCTCACAGATGGTACTACCTTTGACACGGTTAACCCGTAAGGGGAACCCATTTGTGTGGACCCAAGAATGTGAAGTGAGTTTTCAGGAGTTAAAAAGGAAGTTGACTACAGCTCCGGTATTGATATTGCCGGATCCTACCAGTAAATTTGTGGTGTATTGTGGTGCTTCTAAGTTTGGGTTAGGCTGTGTTTTAATGCAGTTTCATCAGGTGGTTGCTTATGCTTCTCGGCAGTTAAAGCCGCATGAGGAGAACTATCCGACACACGATCTTGAGTTGGCAGCCGTCGTGTTCGCATTGAGAATCTGGCGACACTTTCTATACGGGGGCCGATTTCATTGTCTACAATGACCACAAAAGTTTGAAGTATCTGTTTGATCAGAAAGAGCTGAATATGAGGCAACGCCGATGGGTGGAATTCTTGAAGGATTATGATTTTGAATTGCAATATCACCCCGGTAAGGCTAATGTAGTAGCAGATGCTTTAAGCAGAAAGGCGCTTGGTATGGCCAATTTGATGATTTCTGAGTATAATTTGATTGAGAAATTCAGGGATCTCTGCATTCCTGTGAATACCGAGGATAGTCTGCATTTATTGACTACTACGGTAGTTCAGAAATCATTAGTTGAGCGGATCAAAGAAGCTCAATTGCTTGATGAAGATATCCAGTCCATGAAAGAATAAGACTTTGTGTCCAC